AAAAAAAAAAAAATAACTTGACAGGTTTCAACAATTCAATATTTTATCCAAAACATGAAAAAAATGGCTTTAGATAGAATTGAACATGTTATGGCTTATATGAGATTTTAGTGATTGGGTTTACACATGCTTTAACCAGGGGCGTCCCGAGGCCGGGTGACACCTGGAGCGGAAAGCGAGTGACACCCCACCATGACATCATCGCGCGTGGTCATCTTATTGACGCCTGCTGGCGGCCATCCTGGTGGTGGATGCCGGCAAAGAGAGGAGGGGACGTTCACCCGATGGGATGAGGTATGCCACCGGGTCACTTCCTCTCTCCTGACACTCTTGGGCTCATGGTCCGTGACCGAGTGCCCAACTTTTCATAGGGGGTGACACCAAAATGACTGTCAGTCATTTTGGTGTCACCCGGGTGCGGGCCGCACCCCCTATGTGACGCCACTGGTCTTTGACCGTCTCATGTTACGTGTATGTAGTCTCTGACCATCTCTTGTAGTATACCCATAGTCTTTGACCATCTCATGTTAGGTGTATGTAGTCTCTGACCATCTCTTGTAGTATACCCATAGTCTTTGACCATCTCATGTTAGGTGTATGTAGTCTCTGACCATCTCTTGTAGTATACCTGTAGTCTTTGACCATCTCATGTTAGGTGTATGTAGTCTCTGACCATCTCTTGTAGTATACCTGTAGTCTTTGACCATCTCATGCTAGGTGTATGTAGTCTCTGACCATATTCAATGGAATTGCACTCTGACACCCGTCACCTCTCTCTGCGATCAAAGACTAATTCTGTATGTAAACCATTGTAGAAGCATTTCAGGCTCAGCTGTCGTCATCAGATCCTGGCTCGGCGCCCCACCTTGGCGCCCCAGATTGGAATGCCGCCCTGGGAACGGCGCAGCATTTTTCTCTGGATTCCGTCTCTGGTTCCCAGGCATTCTGCTCTTATGGGAACCGGCAGAAAATAAAGAGTGATTCCTCATCACACTCCACCTTCCCTTCAGAAGATCCCGAAAACTAGGAATTGCTCCGTATGGTAATTAGCGACAGATCTGAGCGGGGACCTGGAGGGGGGGTGAGCACTCCGCTCTGGCGGGATCTTCTATGGAAGCCGAGCCAATTAAAGCCTTGATCAATGAAGGACATAGACAGACGGCTCGGACGCTCGGTGGCTGCGTATTGCCCGGAAGATGATACAAGATGGAAGGTGGGGGAGGGGACTGGTTGGGTCTCTCTCTGGATTTCGGAATTGTACATGAAACTGGATGACTAATTTTAGCCCGTGTGACATGCAGCCGGGACTGCTCTGCGCTCCTGCCAGGAGGATTCAGCGGGGAATTTCTACATTTGTGTCACACGTCGTGTCTCCAGCTCCTGCCCTCCATAACCAGAACAGTTCAACAATTGCTCAGCAACAAGTTCTTTTTTGTGTCTGGCCTGAGAGCAGAAAAACAAAACAGACTTAAAGGGTAAACCCCCTGGGTACAAAAACTTTCATTTGGACATACTCCTCAATAACCACAACGCATATAAATCTACCTGGTGTGCACTGAAGGCCATTTGCAAACCCAGATATTAAATTGTAGAAAGTAGCAGTGGACATCATATCTGGGTTTTACATAACCTGTGCAGGGAGCAGAGTTGTGGGAGGGGCCCAGAAGACCCCACCCACAACTCCACCCAACAGTCAACGTTTCACACCTCCTAAAAAAGTTGCTCGAGATACAATTTAAAGATTGAGGGGAAGGACAGGTTGAAGCGACCTAGTATCAGGTGCATGGATGCTGAGGAATGTGTCCGTGTAACTCTCAGATGTCATTCACCTGTCACAGAGATCACAGCACTCCACCTGCTTGTCTCTCCAGAAGGTTGGCGCCATCTTTGTTCAGCTTTCATCGAGAGTCGCCATCTACTTCCTGGGCTGAGATATCGGCTCAGAGATTACACAATCATGACAACATACTGGGGACTTTGATGTGAAAGGGGGGACTTTGATGTGAAGGGGGGACTCTGATGTGAAAGGGGAATTCTGATGTGAAAGGGGGGACTTTGATGTGAAGGGGGGACTCTGATGTGAAAGGGAGGACTTTGATGTGGAAGAGGAAACTGTGATGTGAAAGGGGGATTCTGATGTGAAAGAGGGAACTCTGGTGTGAAAGGGGAAACTCTGATAAGAAAGGGGGACTCTGATGTGAAAGGGGGGCTCTGATGTGAAAGGGGGACTCTGATGTGAAAGGGGGGCTCTGATGTGAATTGGGGCTTCTGATTAGAAGATGGACTTTACTATGAAGGGGTAACCCCCACTTTCTTCTGTGTCTTTGTGTGGGGTCCCCCATAAATACACCACATTTTAGACTGGGGTGCCTGGAGAGTTTGCATACTTTTAAAGAGTGCCGTGACTGAACAAAGATTGGGAAGCGCTGTTTAACAGGCAATGTATTTATCAGTTTGCCCGGAGTTCTGCTTCAAGGCTGTCTACACATGACAGGTACACTTTGATCATTGCTCTGCTGTCAGTCGGAGTCCGGTCTGCACCCCAACAATCAATGTCCTATTGATCCTCTCCGGGCGATGAAGCAGCTTTTGGGTTGTGGGTGGGAATGTTCATCTCTGTTATGTTTTATTCATCACTCAGGATGAGTAGATGACCTCGGAGTCACCAGTTCCAGGCCCATCCCCGGCCCTTCTCTGTGACCTTCCTACACTCATCACCTCCATAAAGAGATGAAACATACAGAAGGGAGAGGTTCTACCTGCCAAAAAGATTTGTACTTCTGTCCATCCAGCTCTCAGATTTTCACAGCTCTGCCGCACGGCCCCATCACGGGGCAAGAGACCTGATATTTTCATCTGCTGCATTTCGGCAACACCTACAGGTCTCCTCCCCGCCCACAGCCCGTGACTTGGAATGAGAAAGCAGCTGATGGATGAGCTGATCACTCTGATGTTTCCTCCTATCAGTATGTTCCTTTATAGCACATGAGTGCTGTACAGTAGATCGGCTGCAAATGATCGGCTCCCGGTACTGCTTCTTTCTCTTCCAGGGTGAGCTCTGCTATGGAGGAATTACAAGAGGTGGATGTCAAGTCAAATTCAGGCGATTACACCTCTTGTATGCAATAAAATAAATCATAAATAAATAAAAACATTTCTTGAATACAAAACTGCATTAAAGGGAATGCATACAAAAAACCTTTTTTTTTTTTTGGGGGGGGGGGGGGGGGGATTAGAACCCCTGCCTGTTTTTTTATTGCAGCCTGTGTCCTTGTTGGGTAGATTCACACTTCCTCATGGTCTTGGTTACCATCCCACCGCAGTGGGCACTCACCTCTCTCTCCCTCTGCTCCAGCTGTGGTATGTCCCTGCATTAGATGTGATGACATCACTGATCCTTAGACCACTGGAGCCCAGGGCAGAAGAGGCTGCAGGAAATCTCGCTAGTGCAACACAGGTAGCAAAAAAATCAACTGTTAGGAGTTTTAATACTTCCCCAGTCAATCTGCAACCATTTCATCTTTCCATAGTTTAAGTCTTGCACATAAAATGTATGTAAAGTCAAAACATTTTTCAGTTTTGCATAGAGGGAATGGTGAAAGTTAAACTCCGGGCGGATATAATAAAACACAAGTGGATGCATCAATTATAATTTTTTGTTTTTTTGTTTTTACATGCAGTGTAGGTAACTGAATGTGACCGGGTATCAGCCTCTTGCAGTCCCGTGCAGCTGGGCTGGAGCGTGGGAGCAAAAAGCAGCACAGGGAGCCAATCAGATCAGTGAATGTTCTGACAAGAAGCAGGCAGATAGGAGAAGAAAGCAGAGTGACTGAGAGATGAGATCATCACTGTGCTGCTTTTCCTTTCACTGTCCAATCACGGGCTGGGGCGGGCCCAGGACAACCTGTGCTCAGTGGAAGTGGGTTATTAGACCGGGGGACATCTAGTGGCAGACAAAAGTACTGCAGCAGAAATCTCTGGATTGAAGGTAAATAATGCCGTAAAAGCTGATTTTATTTTATCTTTTGAGGGGATATTTATTTTTCTATTTTGTTATATTTGGGTGAAGTCCTGCTTTAGACTTATTTCACCTTTATTCATTTGCTGCCTATGACCCACTGGGCAGATGTCCTTTCACTTCTTCTCCCAGAGACACAGCAGGAAGTAACGGGCGGATACCCCCCTCTTGGACATTTGTTATCAGTTGTTTTTTTTTTCCTCCTTCATTACCATTCCTTTCCTTTTATTAATATATTTAATTATAGTGTTGGGGATGTTGCCATCTGGTGAGGGATATATATGACTTTGCAAGAATAACGTCAATTCAATCATGTATACATAGTAACATAGTAGGTAAGGTTGAATAAAGACCAAGGTCCATACGTTTTTATATCTTCTTTTTTTCTATGTGTTTGTTTATACACTTAAATTCCGATTCAGCTCAGGACATCCAAATTCATGAGATTCCCTCTGTATCTCATGCCGTCGAGATCCACTCAGGAGCGAAGCGACATACAGCACCCAGACAACCAATCACAATGAAGCTTGCTCTACGTTGACATCACAGAGGTAAGTCCCGATGCTTGAGCTATTGCACACTCTATCCAGTGCTTTGTACCGTGCGCTGCTTTCTGAATTTGCCCATGGAATCTTTTTTTGCTCCGATCATTTACAGGAAGCATAGTAAAAAAAAAGATCACAAAAACAACAACAAAACCAGAGTCTCTGCTCAGCACAATAATGCCTCCTTATGGCACATTGTTCGGAAGATGTGAACTCAGGCGTGCGTGCGTAATTATAGTACAAAGAAAGAGCCATAAAAGGCGCACATGGAGGAAGGGACGGTGGCAATTCCTGCTGCAAAGGGGGAAAGAGCCCGGCTTGTAGCGTGTGGCATGAAGCTTCCTAGTGATTGTTATAATCATATATGACATTAGTGGGCTGTGTGTCTGATTGAGACTCCCCAAGCTGGAGGAGGAGGAGGAAGAGCAGCGATAGCAGAAGGAGGAGGAAGGCGAGCGAGAGAGAGAGAGAGAGAGAGAGAGAGAGAGAGAGAGGGGCACTGAGGAATCATCATACCTCCTGGCATTTGACCCACACCAAACTCCAGCACCCAACGTCTCCCTGCCTGCTCTTCACCCACAGCGGAGGGGCAGCATGGATCTCAAAGAAGGGGACGTGGTAGAGAAGGGCACCGCCAGCGGGGTGGTGGTCCAAGTCAGAGAGAAGAAGGGACCCCTGAGAGCTGCCATCCCTTACATGCCATTCCCAGTGGCTGTCATCTGCCTCTTCCTCAACACTTTTGTGCCAGGGCTGGGTAAGTGTCTTGTTCCTTTCAATACAGCAGCTGGTGGGCGAAAGGTTTTTTGGGGACTGCTTGATTCTCTGCATCTCAGGCAATCATCTCTGGAAAGTTTTCTCTGCCTCCAGTCTCCTGGCTTGCAGGGAACCACAAGTCTCAGCATGCGATTTTATAGGGTTGCAATACAAAAAAGGAGGTATTAAAGGGCGCTGCCCAGGGCATACTGTTGACCAGAGATGTAACATTGCACTGAGGGGAAAAGAAAAAAAAAGAAGTCTGTACAAATGCCTCTGAGGTCTGTGCATGAGGGTGACAAGTGGATCCGATACGCGGAATTCTTTTCTATTGTGCTGACGAGTATGTGAAAATAATTGCTGAATTATTACAAAGCATGCAATTACTATACATAACTATATCTATACCTAGATCTATAACTATACTTATATATACAGGTGTCTGCAGAGGTATAAATACGTCTATAAATGTATAAATATGTCTACAGATGAATCCACAGTAGGTGTAGAGAGGCACTCACAGGTCTTGCAGCGGAGATAAGTCAAAGCATCAGCATTTTATTGTCAAATATGTAGACATGTACATATATGTATGTGTGAAGGGCTCTTTCAGGGCACTGTAGAATAGAAATTGTCTCCATTGCATAAAAGAGATATATTCAGAGTGGTTAAGATTAATTTGTTTCCAAGTTCAGTGAGTTTTCGGCTACATTTGTAGTTCGGGGGACTCTGTGATGGCATGCTGGGACTTGTGATTCCTGAGATATTTCTTTGGAAAGAGATGTAATAAGATATTTCATTTCCCTGGACGCAGTTTTCTGTTAACACCGTGCCCTGAAAGAGCCCTATTTATACATATGTTATATCGACATGTAACCCATAGCAACCAGATCTCACTTGTTATCCCTTTAGCACAGGCACCCAAGAGAAAGGCGACTGCTGATTGGTTGCTAAGGCTTGTGGCACTTTAGAGATCGCTCGTTGCCTAGTAAATAGGATATTTCTTTCAAGTTTATTTCAGCTCTTCCGACAGAATGTAACAATACCATGAGGAGGATTTATCAAAACTGGAGCAGAGAAAATCTGGAGCAGCTGTGCACGGCAACCAATCAGCTTCTCTCTTTCATTTTCCAATGTTAACTGAACAAACTGAAGAGAGAAGCTGATTGGTTACCATGGGCACCTACTCCAGATTCTGTCTGCTCCAGTTTTGATAAACCCTCCCTATGTGTTCTTAATGAATATCTTATACTTGACCACGATGGCATTAGATGGAATCATCATATTCAGGGCTTTGATCACACCGAATGCGGTGTGTTCCAGAGCGGTAGCTGCTGGAACGCACCACGATCCTCACGAAACCTCCCCCCTGCGTTCTGGGGCGGGAGGGGCCGTGGCGGCGCATTGAATTCAGTGGCTCCACTTCCAAACCCCCATCCCCCCGCCCACAGTGCGACCGGAGGCGTAGCAAAACTTTGCCTGCGTTCCGTTCCACTGCAAACACAAAAAATAGAGCAAGCAGCCACGCCCCCTCCTCCCCCAGCAACTTCGGCACTCCAGTTGTTGTGGAACTACAAGTCCCATGAGGCATTGCAGGACTCTGACCGACACAGGTATGACTCCCTATGGCAGAAGCATGATGGGATTTGTAGTTTCACCAGCTGGAATGCTGAGGTTCCCTACCGCTGGTTTAACCTGTAGCTATTATTAATTACATCTCTTTCTCCTACGAGAACAGTTGGGAGTATTATAGAGATAATGTGACAGTAGGAAGTCCCCTTTGGGCGTCCCGAAGCTGGGTAACACCCGGAGCGGAGACCGGGTGACACCCCGCCATGACATAATCGTGCATGTGTGGTCGTCTTTCTGACGCCTGCCGGCGGCCATCTTGGTGGTGGACGCCGGCAGAGAGAGGAGGGGACGTTTACCTGGCGGGATGAGGTATGCCGCCGGGTACCCCCCTCTCTCCTGACACTGTCGGGCTCTCGGCCCATGACCGAGTGCCCGACTTTTCATAGGGGGTGACACCAAAATGACTGTCAGTCATTTTGGTGTCACCCCTCCAATAGTGGCACTCAGGTGCGGGCCGTACCCCCCGTAACCCCCCTAGTGACGCCACTGGTAACTGGTTGGATTGGGTGGAAGGGGACTTGCGATGACCATTACCCAATCTGGAGAGGAAATCATCTTCAGATACCACAAACCAAGACATCTCGAGGGAAACACATAGGATGTGTTTGAAAACCTCCTCCGGTTGTTTCTCTTGTGTTCCTGTTGATCCAGATATTGTATGAGCTGATAACTTCTTGTGTTCTTTGCTTGTACTGGCTGTTATCAATTACCTTATTCCCTGTGCTGAGTTCCCGGGTCTTTACACCTGCTGTGCCCATTTGAGGGGCTCCCATCATCCCTGTGCTGAGTTCCGGTGTCTGCACACCTGCTGTGCCCATTATGAGGGACTCCCATCATCCCTGTGCTGAGTTCCTGGGTCTGTACACCTGCTGTGCCCATTATGAGGGGCTCCCATCATCCCCGTGCTGAGTTCCCGGGTCTGTACAACCGCTGTGCCCATTATGAAGGGTTCCCACCATCCCTGCACTGGGTTCCTGGGTCTATACACCTGTTGTGCCCATTATGAGGGGCCCCCACCATCCCTGTGCTGAGTCCCCGGGTCTGCACACCTGCTGTGCCCATTATGAGGGGTTTCCACCATCCCCGTGCTGAGGTACCGGGTCTGTACAACCGCTGTGCCCATTATGAGGGGTTCCCACCATCCCTGCACTGGCTTCCTGGGTCTATACACCTGCTGTGCCCATTATGAGGGACTCCTACCATCCCTGCACTCATTCCCAGTACTGTACACCCAGAACTCTCAGGAGTGCAGGAGCAGAGCTGGGAATTATAGCTCACTGTTATATCCCAGACATATGAGAAGGGGCTGACTCGCCCACCCATAAAATCTACTTTTGGGTGGACTTTTGATGCTGTAACATTGGAAGAAGAGTCCCTCAGTTACATTCAAGGTCTTTTTTTTTTTTACGTCCAGCTAAGATGATGAAAATGTGAGTCTTGCAGCACAATAAATAAATGAATCGTCCATTGACTAAAAGATGAAGGCAGAGATTAAACATAGATTGAAAACGGGGGAGGGGTAAGCGGGATCGGAAACAGTCCACGGCGTGTCATTCCAGACAAGCAAATGTGCACAGAATAAAAAATCTGCAGCCATTCAGAATGAAAAGGAATCGCTGACCTGACTTTGTCCTGAGCATTATAAACCTTCGTTCAGTTAAAGAGACCCTGTCACCCACTTTACAAAATACAGAAACATCCAGAGGGGAATTTATCAAAACTGGAGCAGTCAGAAATTAGAGCAGTTGCCCATGGCAACCAATCAGCATCTCACTACAGTTTGCTCAGGTAAGATATGGAAATGAGATAGAGAAGCTGATTGGTTGCCATGCACAGCTGCTCCAGAATTTGTCTGCTCCAGTTGTGATACATTCCTCTCACTGTATATTAATTGTTACTTGCAGAGTTTTTACTGTCATATTGTGTCAAATTTAGTGTCAAATTGACATAGACAATTTTTTGTAGTGACTATCAATGTGCCTCAGTTCCCTAGCACAACCCCTTTCCTCCGCGTTCGTCAAAACCTTCTCTTCTTCTCGGAGCAGGGGTGTCCCGAGGTCTCTAGACCTGGTGACACCCTGCCATGACGTCACTTCGCGCATGTGCGATGACATCATCGTGAATGCACGACCATCAGATTGATGCCTGCCGGTGGTCATCTTGGTGATAGACGCCGACAGAGAGGAGGGAACGTTCACCCGGCGGGATGAGGTATGCCGCCTCTCTGCTGACACTGTTGGGCTCTCGGTCCATGACCGAGTGCCCGACTTTTTAGAGGGGGGTGACACCAAAATGACTGTCAGTCATTTTGGTGTCACCCCTGCAGTGGTGACACCCGGGTGTGGGCTGCACCCCCCTTGTGACGCCACTGTCTGGGAGTGTCTAATTGCTGTTTGTGCTGGCCCAGCTCCTCCACTCATCACCACTATATATAACCTTTTAAGTATCTGCTGAGGGACGAGGATAGAGTCTGCTGGCTACTGGCATAACATCCAAGATGGAGGTGCCCAGCAGCAGTCTGAGAGCTTTTGTATGTCTACACAAGGGAGGCTTTCACAGGTAAATAGCATAAAATATGTAAAGTGCACATGCAATCTTGTGAGAAGGTTGTCGTTGAATGGTCCATGTAAAAATTTAAATCAGTAGCAACCTAGACCATGCTGCTGCTATCCAGCACTTTTGGTTGTGTCAGATACCTGCTCCCCCTTCCTGGGTGCAGTGGTTCCTCCCACTGTGTAGTGATGTAGCAGCCGGTGGGGTGAACCATGGTGCCCTGCAGGGATCTGGGTATCTGACACACCTGGAAATGTCGGAGACCAGTGGCAACCCGGAGCTCTTCAAGAGAGCAAAGATTTTACTCACCACCCGTTGGAAATGTAAAAGGAAAAGGTAATTTGACTGACAATTATTCAAATGCTGTACTAAAATATATTTTTGGGGACAGATTGAGCTTTCTTATGGTGGTATTAAATCACCACTGGGGTTTTTTTATCGTTTACTATATAAAGAAAAAAGTTTGAAAAAAACCTCCCTTTTTTCCCCCAACATACTTTATTATTATAGCACAGATACAGTGATAGGTCCTCTTTATATAGACATCAGGGGTCTATTAGACCATTAATGTCACCTATAGACCCCAAAGAAGCTGATGAAGCCAGGATCGTGCTTCACCACTTTCTTCTCTGGCTACAGCAGCCCGAGAAATGAGAGCTTGAAACGGGAAGTGATGTAATACATGTCGCTTTCGGGTTCAGCATTGAGATCAGCTGCTGGAAGTGTGCTGACCTCCCTTCGATCGCGGTACAGAGAGACGCTGTGTGGGTCATGGGCCCGCACATGGGACAGCAGGCCCCAGGATAGCCGGCAGCG